TCCTGAAAAAGACGATGTGAAAGCGATGTGCGTTTGGATGAAGCGCAATGAGCCAACTGAGCAAGCTGGGTACTGGAGGAATATAAATCGTCGAATGGAAGAAGTGGGACCAATTCTTCGCTACATCTTTGATGAAAGCAAATACAATGGTCGGGTTCAATCGTGCAAAGATACCGTTTGTAAACTGAACCGCATCGATGCCGAATATTACCTTCATTTCGGAACTACGCAAATGTTGGGTGGTGACAAAGTGTCTCACAAACTTGTAAGGATCGTCCGAGTACGAGGAGTACGCAATATTGAATCGACCTTTAATGGACTGATGTCTCCTCATCTCGGAAATTTAACTTTATGCAAATTGGCGGAGTTAATGCCACCGAATGATTTTATTTTACTCATATTGGCCATCAAGGACGATCTCTTATCAAAAGCCCTTGAAAAGTATTCCGTGTTTACGTTTTTGAGCGAGGCCTTTGTAAATGCAATAATACCGAAACTCAGGGAGCTGAAACTGCAAGAAGATGCTCCGCCACACCGCTGTGCGCTGGAATTGTGTCCACATGAGCGCCCTCTCAAGCCCCTTCCTTTACCGTTACTGGAAAATTTTAAGAAGAAGATTGAAATAGAGTCTCGGGTGCTGTACAAACCGGTGGCCCAAAACTTTCCGTTGGTGGACGCCTTTTTCTTCATGGAGTCAAATCCGAAGACCATGGTTGGGCTGCAGATTACTACGGCGAGTGCGCATCACACCATACCCAGCACCGTGAATCAGTTCAAAGAAAAAATGGCGACATATTTTAATGGTTGGGAGGAATTTTCTGAGGGTTTGTCGTGGGAGATTGTTTATATACAACACGCAGACAGCACGCCCATGACTGGCTGGCAGAGATGTGGTCCCCTCAAAACCGATAATTTGAGCCCCGCTGAAAAAGAAATTGTGGCGTTCTGGGAGAAGGAGGTACACCAGTACCAAGTGTCTGTATCATCCAGAGACTTTAGAAGAAAAGAAGCTCCCCCAATTGTGGAAGAAGAACAAGAACAGGAAACAGAATAGGAAATTAAAAGTGAAAGAGACATTTTGATTTATGGTAAATTTTTTTTTCGAAATATATAAATATATACAGACACTTGTGTGTCCATACGTTGCGGATGCACCAGCATCACACGGCAGCACAGCACAAAAGTGTTAAGAATGTTCAACGCGAGTGATAATAGCAGTGACAGAAGAAACTTAGGGAGGGAAAGGGAAATTTATATTTTTGGTGAAAAACATATTTCGAGTTGTTTAATACATGTGAATGTTTGTTTTTTTATACGACATCAGTACATCATCCCCTTTGGGAGTAAGACGCACAGATGCCAAAAAATTACAACGCGATATTCCTTCACAATGACAGAAAAACAAATCAGGGATGCCAGGGGCATTTTAATTAATGGTAAGAAAATATTGAAGAAGTTTTATTTATGCGAATTCCTCTGTCTGTAGACAAGACGTGATAACAGAATTGC